GACAGCCGCAGCCCTCGCGGAAGTACTCGTCAAACACTTGACCCGAACTCTTCAGATCGACGGGAATGTCGTCCAAATTGTTGAGTACATTACGCAATAGTGGGACGCCTTCCGCCTCATCCCTCTCCCCATCACCGTTGCCCTCAGTCTCAAGACTTGATCCAATCGTATACTCTGTTAACAATCAATTATATCAACAATGAATGAAAATGTGTGACCAATTGGAGTGTCGATTGTGGCAAACCTTCATCAGTGAGCGAATCAGTCACGTAATCATATCGACCGAAATTTTCTACTCTTTCCGATTTGTCATACGATTCGAGAAAAAAGTCGGGAATAATATCTCTGACATCTTCGGGAAGCGCTTCCGCCGAATACTGTTGCGTCAGTTCAGCGATCCTGTCGTACGAGTCGGCCATATGTCTGGCCATCGCTTCCCAATTAACACCCGATTAATGTCCGCAAAAATGCCTTCAAATAAATACATTTAAATTTTGATAAAACTTTATAAAACTCTTAGGAATTAATAAATTGTAAAAAAAGTTTGAAAACTAATTGTAATGCAAATAACTTTACGTAAAACTGATTATTCAGTCACTATTTTAGGGCAAAAGTAATTAATAAAACAAATAAAACTACGAAAATATAATTGAATTAAAATTTATTGTTTTAATCGTGATTTAAATACAGTTCTCCAAATGACCAAGGACATAACTCGATTCAATAGTAAACATTTAAAAAAAAAGTTTACAACAAAATCGTTATCATAAATGGTATCAAAACTATGGTTAATATGAATGGGTATTGAATTGCATTTGTATTGCGAATGCTATGAAAAACATGGCATTTGTGTCAACACAACAAAACATAAACCAAATTAAGCCCTCATTTAACGTATAGTTTAGATCTTAGGCTATGTTTGCATACAATCAACAAAAATGACAATTAAATGCTTACTTTGGTCGACGGCTTATATGAATGAAGCGCTTAATTGTTTGTCAATGTATTAATTGTTGTATTGTTTGGGCTATAGTTTAGCACTTTTTCCTATGAAAGCGTTGTTAGTATAAAATGGCGACAAAAGGGACGCCTTATGCTCGACAACACGGCTATAGCCGTCAATGCATTGTATGCTTTGCGCCAATCGAGCATTTGCTACCTTTTCATATGCTATTCAGCGCACAAACCCTTGTCAACCAATGTATCACTACTTTTGACCGCTATTTTCAAATCAAACTTAAATGTTTGCTTTCAATGCATTTTTACAAATTGTTTTTTTTTGTTTTAAAGTTTGCCTATTCTTATGCGAAATAACTTTATAATAGTATTTTTTTTTGTATATTTTCTATTATTGTTTTTCTCTCTTTTTTTATGTAAAAGTATTGATATTTCACTTGAAATTGTATTTAAAAACACTTTCTATT